CGGATTGCGAGTCGAGCGCCTTAACCACCTGGCCATGCCGGGCCGCCGATCATTAAGGATGGAGCCGTCAGTGTATTCATTCGACCACCAACCCAGGGTGAACCACACGCGACAGGACAACTAGTTACAACAAGGGACAAGACTCCATCCCATCAGTATACCATGTACCTCGGAAAGGAAAAACCGCCAAAAAGATTTGGTGAATGAGCAATTTAGTGTAGTAATTTATAATAAAGTTTAAATCCATACTAACGGAACATTACCAAATTTATAAGGATACTAGCTTCGACATTTCAGTTAGTGTAGCGTTTTAGTTTTGTATTAGGATCATTTAAGGGACTTTACAATCCAGGAAGAGAGCAGTGTTATAAGCTATGAGGGAGCTGCGGGTCATAATGGCGATGTTCAGAGCAATAGGTTTAATAAGGTAGACTTAGAACACTTAAAAAGCTCTTAAGAATGTGATATAAAGTTTTCTTGCATATTGAAAAATAGATAAGACGTAAAAGAATAGTTAAGATAGTGTAGAGTTTCTTTGAAGGTATCGTAGAGTGAACCAATCAGTGTGTGAAATATTTGGATCTGTGTTTAGCGATCGTGTTTATTGGGTTACTTTGTACAAGTACGTATATCTTTATTTTTTACGCCATGTAGTAAGCGTTATTTGTAAACGTGGCTTATAACTGTGTACAGAGAATACAGTTTGTAAAAACGTTAGGGAAAAAATAAGCTAAATTATTTTTTTTACGTGGACTGGACTTTGAGATATTTTCTTCAGATAATTTAACAGAACACAAAAAACAACGATACATGTGAGTACCAGGTGCATTATATTACTATACTAAAACGTTAGGCTCTTGCATGCTCATTTTGAGTTTTCAACCATTTTAGGGAACTTAGTTGGAGATAGTACGATTTAAAAACAAAATGTTATTTTTCAGGAACTTCCTCAATAGAAATAGCTTTTTCCAACCTCATTGCATAATTTTATTATTTGTATTTTATCGATAAATCGAAAAAAATAAAACAACAACACAAATTCAGAAACTGGAGGTTCTAAATTTTTCATGCCAACCAAGGATAAAGGATAGAAATAAAAAAACCGGAAATTAAAGCCTTACTCCAATTAGTCTTCTCACCTAAAACCATGATAGTCTGAAGGTCATGGCGTGGAAACAGTAATCGGTCATATGAAGACCTACTACGCTTGGAATGGTGTGAATGAGAGCTTGAACTGTGTGAATGACTCTCTCCATCACTTTTAGTTGACCTTTCATTTTTGCGATCTTTCTTAATAGATCCATTTTTCTCTTTCAGGTCTGCATTTTGTACAACTATCCCATTTTCAGGCTTGATCACTGTAAAGAAAGAAAAAAAAACATTATGCTCCGGTCATTTGTGCAACAACATTTTTATTGGTGTAATATTTTGACAGTTAAATGTGCATTAATAATTGACAACATTTTCATTTGTTTAAGTGTTTATTAGAAGCAATGATTTGTAGCAATTGGATATGACAGTTCTTTTTTTAATTAAAATTCATGTTTTATGATACTGTATACAATTTTACAACTGAACATTAGTTTTTTAATGGCTCTCAGTTCAATACGATTCTATAACAAACTAATTTTCAGTTTTAGTTGAAACTTAAGAGTAAGACTAATCCAGTTAGAACTTTTTCATATTATTTGAAGCTATATTTTTCATATTTCAATTTAGAAATTTGTTTGTTAGAGGGAGTTAATCATGATGATGATGTACTATATCCTGAAAGTTAAGGTCTCTGTAGAATCGAGTATCTTCGGGCAGTAGGTAGAAACAAAGGAACACTATAAACACGAGTCCAAGTGAAGCAGTCAGTTATTGAGTGTTCAATGAGTGAAGTTCGATTCAATGTTAACATTAAGAATTATCGCTTCTATTAGGCAAGCAATTCCGTAAGTAAGTTTTTTTGTAAGTTAGGCGTAGATACCATTAGTAACACAGTTACTATTGATGCGTTGTTTGTGAACTCAGGTCTACAACTTGTGTTAAAATGAACGTGGCTATATAAGATGCTTATTGAAGAAACAGTTTAATTTTTCACTAAAATATTAATTTTTTCTGCAGCTTAATACCAACACAAGTGCTTAGATGCTTATGTACTTTTTCATGTAATTCCATCTCTATGCAATTTTTAATTGACTGAGATGGCATGAACAGCACTTTATACACCTCTTAATTTAAGTACGATTAATTAGTCTATTAAACTGTTTTTCTCTAACAAAAATATAATTATTAAAAAAAATACACCTTCATTTGTTGTCTGCGCAAGAAGTAAAGCCTTTTGTTTTGCACGTCTGAACCGACACCAGATCATTAAACCCATAACAAGTACCATATAGATTGCTGCAGCACCAAGAGTTATAGTAACTGTTTTGGTCATAGTGTTCTCATCCAATCCAGCACCAATCTGGTTAGGGTTGTAATTTTCTCCACCTAGAGAAATAAGGCATTTATCTAAATCAAATATTATTATTATTTTATTACTTCTGAAAATTACACAAACACAACAATCATTAAAGCTTATGAGAATTATAGATCATCCACTGATTTGCTATATAATACTATGATAACTTGATTACTTTGAAATTACTTAGACGGACTATAGTAAGTTTTGGATTTTTACAATGACAGTAAGTGGACCTTAAAACAAAAAACAATGTTACTTTAGTCACTCTACCATATAATATATATACAGCTATATCCATAGCTATCGAAAACTTACTTTCAACAAACAGTTTAACTTCTGTTCTGCGGAAACCTCCACTATTTCCAGCAGTACACCCATATTTTCCTTTATCATTCTTATGAGCTTCACTAATATAGAGTGTTCCATTGGGCAGAACCTGAAACCGCTTTTTGTCAAAGCCATTAAGTACATTGTCCTTGTCCCACTGGATGCTAGGTGGTGGATCACCTGTGGCTTTACAGTGAAGCATGATGGGATATCCTTCATAAGCAATGGTTTCTGCTGGCCTTACCGTAAAAGTTGGCAGAACTAGAGATACAGTATGAAGAATAAAAACTTAACAAAATCGGTGCTGAAAATTGTTTAAAAAACAAGGAATGGATTTCTCATTAGTTGCAATTCATTTTAAAAATCTTTCGGATGCAAGCGTAATCCTATTTGAGGAGTAATTTTTTCTTACTATTTTTACAACTTTTAGGAATACAACTTTTACTTCAACAATATAACATTCTACAACAATGTAGCATTCTACTGTTTGAAGAGGAACACCTAAAGTACTGTTGGAAAATATGTTTCCTAATAAGTAAAATAAAACTTATACAAATTTATAAATAGCAAAAGAAATATTCGAGTAGAATAGAACTACTAAATACTATTTTTTTCTTTTTTTCATTTAATGAATGCCACAACTTGTTTTACTATTGGTGCTCATATAGAAGACAGTGTGTTCTGACGTATGTGATTATAAACAAGGCCATCTTTGTTTAACTTAGGTACTAAATAGTAAATCAAACATGTTTATTTGGGCATCAGTTCATCTAAACATATTGACAATGTGAGCTCAATAAAACGGCCCTATTATTATTTAAATATATTTATATATATATTTCTTTGAATTAATTTATTGAAAACATATACACAAATCAATCTTTTTCAAGCCCTACTCAAACAAATTACGTTTTCTGATTTTCACCTTGAAATTTTAAGTATCCTTATTTCAGTGTAATTGCTACTTACCAATGACTTCAACATGTATAGTGGTATTAATGAATGCCTGAGTGCTGGATGCAAAACAAGTGTAGTTTCCTGCATCACTCTGTTGAACACCATTAAAATACAGAGTTCCATTTTCATCTTTAATATGTGGTGGCCACTCAAAGTATTTACTTCCCTCCTTTGTCCACTTTACTGTTGGTGGAACAGCTCCTCGTGCTTTACAGTATATCTTGGCATTAGACCCAAGTTCTAAGTTTTTACTGACTGGAGGAGGAGCAAACTTCAGCTTTTCTAGATGTGGAAGTAAAATTAGTGATATTTATTCTAAGTTAGGTGCTAACTTTGTTGCATAACAAGAATTGTTGCTCTTCATTTGGTTTCAACACTAATAAACATGTCAAACTTGACCTGATAGCATTTTCATGAACATCACTGCATCACTAGATTTATGTTGGCTATTAAGGATGACTTATTATATTATCCATACTTGCCAACGATTTAAAGAGTTAGGTGAGTGTGTGGCACATGCCTTACTATGGGGTCTAGGACCTTCTTTTATGTACAATTTTGAAGAAACAGGGTAAAGTAATGCAATTTACCAAACCATAGAATAGCTGAAAATAAGGTTATAATGGCTGCGCCAATCAGTTCTGCATTTTCTCGTGTCACTTGTATCATTCGAAAATAGTTATTTATAATATTATTAAGTACGGTAGTAGTTAATAGTAGGGATCGACAAGGTTTCCAATTAATTCACGCGCCGAAAAACCAATCTATTGAATTCCTAAGCGAAAAACCCACCATTCAAAGTATTGGTTACGATATATTATGCGCATATATACTAATAATACACTAAAAAGTTCGCTAACGTTTCCGGTATAACAGTTCAAAAATTTATAAAACAGCAACTTTTTCGTCTACTACACCCCTACCTGATCACGTTAGCGGGGGTAGCCTCTAGACGGCTCGGACAATCACTACAAGATTTTTCCAGGTTATGTGACTAGCCTGAGGGTATACACTTTTGATATTCCGATAAATATATACAGATTTTGTATAAATGGTGAACATATTATGCTCATACTTAAATATATTTACCACCCAAAAGATGGCGCTACATATCGATGGATAAGACGCACAACAGTTTCTAAAGATAAAGTATGCACGTTATACAGGTATAATGTGAAAAATAAACAAACAAAAGTTTTAAAAATTGTGAATTTTAAAACGAAGTAGGGATCCCGCTACAAAAAGTAATGAAACAAGAATTAAAACCACAATCACAAATTTATAAAATTTAATCCCTACCTTGGCAGCTTTATACATTTATCTGTAGGCCAAGTAAATATTACATTTTATAAATTTATGATTGTGGTTTTCATTCCTATAAAAGTTATAGCTATCAAGGATATGGCTATACTAAGAGTTTATAGATGTTGTGTCCATTCCATGGACATATAAAACTAAACAAACAAATAGGGGAAAAAATTAGAATTAAGGCAAGTAGGGACCGTTGGTTATTCGTAGAATTGCTATAAGAAGTATCCAAAACAAAATAAATGCAGCAATAAAAAGTACACAAACAAGTAAAGTGATACTAGTTGGATAAAGTTTAAAACGATTTTCAATCCCTACTTTGGTTGGCATTGTGATCTGCACAACTAAATCAAGCAGTCTAAATTTGCCAAGTAGAGATTGAAAATCGTTATAAAATATATCCAACTAGTATATCACATTGCTTACTTGTATACTTTTTATTGCAGCCTTTATTTTGATTTGAATACTTCTTACAGCAGTTCTACAAATAGCCAGCGAGATCCCTATTTTTCATTAAATTTAATTCCCCCGCCTCCTATTTATATAAATAAACAAACTGGTTGATATTTAGTTTATATGAATATCTTCTAAAATCGAGTTAGCAAGTATAGTTATAAGTTTTATGTCTAAATAAATGAAGTTAAATATTAAATGACATCACAAAAATGATAACTTAAGGAAGGCATAATGCAATGAAATCATTTTAGCCATTAGGTCTTATTCCAAGGCTATACTGATTTTATATTCTCTAAGTAAATATCTCTTTTAATATATATATTTTTCTATTAGTCCTCTTCCTTGGATATACTTGAAATGTGATAAACTGTTATTTGTGTACAAAGCAGCGATATAAAGAAGCGATGTTGAACATAATACAGTTAATTAATCTTGTATATGAAACCTTTTGAGATATATAAATATATTTTCACATTTTTTTTTACGGTTTATTAGAACAGTCCATGTTAATATTATTACTGTCTACCAGTCCAAAATTAGATTCAGCTACGTTCATATAGCGCTAAAACACGTTTCAAAGATCAAAATACATATTGCGACAAGCACAGAAAAACATTTCCTACACAAATAAAACATTTTCTATTAAATTTATCGAAAATTATAAGACCCGAAGTTCTCAGCATAGTTTTAAACAATGTTTTTCTCTAATTTTTCTTTATTCAAACTCCTTTGAGAACTACTTTTCTGCCCAGCATCTTTTTGAGTGGCTGTTGTCGCCTGTACTCCTGGACATGGTATTGGTCAAATTGTAAGCCTATATCTTCCACACAAAACTATTACCAGCTGAATAACTTGTGTACGGCCTATTGTTTTCGATACACAGTACTAGATTGCTGCGCAGCCGCGCAGTTTCGAGGGAACATTGGACTCTTATATATCCTCCAACAAAGCTAGATAAAGAGGCAGGTCCCAAACAATAAACAACGATCAATATGCAACACATTGTATCTTAACTCACTTTAAACTACCCAATCAGTAACAATTGTACTTCTGAAGTAAAGATGTCCAAGTAAAATAATCATACCTTTGACAATAAACGGGGCATTTGAGGACTGGATGGAAGGAAATCCTTTTGTTTTTACTTCACACTGATACATTCCCGAGTCCCCAAGCTGAATCCCATGGATGAACAAAGTTCCATTGTCCGGATGAACAACAAAGCGAGAACGGGACGTCTCTATCCTTTTGCCATCCTTGAGCCAGTGGACAGAAGTGATGGGGTATGGACTCCCGAGGTATTCACAGAACAGCTTCGCTGTTTTGCCTTCATCTGCCTGGACTCTTTTGGGGTGAGACTGAATTATGGGTTGAACTGTATAATTCAAATGGAAAATATGCATATTATCATCAACTACGTTAAGCATGCTTTAATTCTAGTCATGAATACCATATAATATTTGTATTGCTATATCATGATGAGGAACCCGGTTTTGGACTATAAGAAGTTTGGAGATGGTCTAAATGGGTAACTTGAATGGAAACAGATTTATTACAAGTTTAACATAGTAACAAATGTAGAAGGTTTAGTCATCGTCAATTACAAGTAGTTTACCTATATACACAGTATGAAACAAATAGGTGATATGGCTGGAGATTGCTTAATAGCTTAGCAAGGTATTTTTGCACCTTCAGACGTTTTGATCAATTTTGATCAGTTAGCGCTTCGTTTGGTTTTTGATTTGTAGATATCAATAAAGGATTGGCATGATATAATGAATTTTTATCTTTTTAACAGTGAACATATTGTTTAATAAAATCATGAGGTATAAACGTTTGAAGATAGTACGTTCTTTAAACAATTTTAACTATCGAATTGATGTTTGAAGTATATATATGTGTGTGTGTATGATCATTTGTATATATATATGATATACTGTACTAAGTTCAGAATTTCATTCTATTTATGTACAAAGTTAAAAATTGTGTTTCTGAATTTTTATATACAATTGACAACAGTCATTACATTACTGGTAACTGATGTGAGTTTTGGCTTTGTATTGTAGACTATCTCTGTTGTGTATAACTATAGGACTTATCCAAACACTGCATGTGCAATTTACACATTGTAGTATAACATTTGCTATCGTGTGGTCACAGAAAAGCTATATAACTGAATGTTTAAAACATGTTAAATAGTTCAGATAAAAAGCTTGTTAAGACAAGACTGTAATCAGGGATTGTGTTGTGTTAGGTGCTCGTAAAAGTATTCCCGTGTCTTAGAGATAATAATTTGATATAAAAATACTATCACGATGGAACTAACATTAACGGAACATCGAAAAAAGAGAGGAGAACTTGAATAAAAAAAAACTGTCTAAAATATCGTTTTGAAAGCAATCAAAATAAAACTGAAAATACCAAAACATCGACGACTGAAAAAGAACGGGAATAACTTGAAGAATCGCATGTATTTAACCTGAAAGTTAGTTAACCCACATGTGTCACACACGTCTAGCGACCCTGGCTTCTCTGATGGCAATAACGCTGAATCTGTAATACAACTTTATCTTGTCAATGTGACTGTGACACGTAGAAAAATATGTCATAAAAGTATCCTTGCAACAAATAAAGTGGATTTATCTGTACCTATCCTTGCATATAGATACCATATAGATGGGGGAATTTCCCCCTATTCCTTTCTCTTTGCTAATAGATCATCCACAGATACAGGATTTCCCCCTATTCCTTTCTCTTTGCTAATAGATCATCCACAGATACAGGATTTCCCCCTATTCCTTTCTCTTTGCTAATAGATCATCCACAGATACGGGATTTCCCCCTATTCCTTTCTCTTTGCTAATAGATCATCCACAGATACAGGATTTCCATGTTCGTATCCTTAATAATAGATAAATACAGGGAAGAAGGATTTTTCTGTTCATATTGAATATGCTAACAATGAAATAGAAAGGCGGAAGACTTTCGAAACGTCGTCCTCTACATTTGTGCCTGTACAACAGGAAGTTGCTGTCCATTCTACAAAGTTTCATCATAATGAAATAGTTATCACAGAAAACAGATCCTGCAGACCAAATGACCCATTTCCAGAACAAAAGAAACAACAAATGAAATGTCATCCCGAACTTGTATACAGCATTACAACCAAGTTTGTTTGTTTTGAATTTCGCGCAAAGATACGCGAGGGCTATCTGCGC